TATTGAGAGTGGGTGTGTTCGTAAGTGGCTCAGACCATTGAGCGAGAAGGGACAGGGTGCCGGCAATCAGTGCCTGACCGCAGGCGGCATTAGGCGCGAAGGCCAAAGGCGCCATCCGTCGGATCTTGGGTTCCAAGGGGCTGCTAGGGCCACTACAGACTTGTCTCCTGACGTGCCCCACCCATTCTATCCCCTAAAATCAGGTGCCCGTATTGGAGTGGAGCACGCTTCGCGCGCATTGTGGGGACCTCACGACAGTTCCTTACCAAGAATGGTAGTACACAATATGTAAGATGACAAACGCGTGTACAGCCATGTCTATCGTGCCAATCATATACTGCTCTGACGCGAGTAGCGACACGATTGGCTTGTGATTCAACGGCTGGCTTGTCGGAGTCATAGCCTGGCCGCGGCTTTACATTTTAAATTATTGATTGCTTGACTGCCAGTTGCGTTCGGCGCGTTTAGGTGGATCGATAGCCTACCGTGAGCGCGGCTCGCTGTCTGCCTACTCGCCGGTTGCTCCTAACAGTGTTTTTTTGCGTGCAAAGGTGAAATAATTGGGTTTCTTATCAAAACCCTATGGAAAACCCTAGTGTTTGAGCTTTTAAATAGAACCGTTATTGTCAAAATTATATCTAATGAAGTATTCGTATACGATCGACTGTCTGTTGACAGCTTGTGAATATACCGCTGTTATTTCACCGTATCACTACGGTGGCGTCTTCTTAAGGTAGCTTCTATGGCGCTCTTAATCTGTGAGATCCGAGCCAGGTTCGGCGGCAGACCTAGAGGTGGCTCCTATCACCCCTGTCACAGCCCCCTCCCCCCCTCTTACTTACTTACTTACTTACTTGTACTTGTTACGGCTGCGATAATGACTGATCTATCCGGCCTCAATTATGCCCAGTACGGTGATTCTCCACGCGCGACGATCCGTGGCCGCAGATCTGGACAGTTCGACCCATTCTCTTCGCCAGCGTCGGAGACCGAATACCAAAGATTCAAGAACCACTTCCATGTCCTGACTGACTGAGTCGAGCCAGGTTTTGAGTTGACCCCCTCTTCGATGTTTCCAATTAGGCAACGGTTTTTTAAGTCGAGGGCAGTAGCACTGAGCTCCTGAGGTTGACGACAGAGAACGTGTCCAAACCACCTCAGCCATCTTTCCTGAATTGCCTGGGATATCCTTGTGATTTAGTCACAGTGAGTGCGGACTGTCTCATTTGAGATGGAGTCAGTGTACTTCACTCGAAGGATGCTCCTCAGACAGTAGTGGTCAAAGACTTCCAGTTTTCGTTCATTTTCCACGCGCATGGCCCAATATTTGCATCCGTATGGAAGAACGGACCGCCCAAATACACGGTACACGCGGATCTTTGTTGAGATAGAAATATCGCGCCGGGTCCATAAAAACTTCCGTAAGCCGGATAAAACTCCTCGTGCTGCGTCAATTCGGGAGACAATGTCATCCTTACTCTGTCCATTCGGTAACAACCTCGTTCCGAGGTATTTGAAACTGTCGACTTCTTCAAATTGACACCCACTAATCTCGAGAGGTGCCTTCCCTTGGGCAGGGATGCAGCATGAAAACACTTTGGTCTTCCTAGCATTTATGGACAAACCGACCGAATTCGTGACCTCGTTCACCCGTGACACCCCTCCCCCAACTTGGTCATGAAACCGAACCCAGGTGGGGAAAGAGAAGAGAGTGCGGTAGATGCATCGCAAGTCTACCCTCACTATAATGTAATTCCCGTGCAAGTCACCGCACTTGCTCCTAGCCTTCTGTGAGGCAAGTAGTGGACATACTCAAAACCGACGGTCAAACCGACCTCTTTCTGCTTCAGCTTTCTGCTTATGTATCTGATGAAGAATCCGCGACGGATGTCGAAACGTCAGGCGAATAAAATTGTTGTCCCAGCAATTGTAACTTCTCCTCCTCCTCCTCCTCCTTCTAAACTGTCAAGTGTTAATTGTGCTGTTAATATGGGAAAATGCTTAAGCATTTCTATGCCATTGACTTCCTGCTCGCACCTTGCGAATATACCGTAGTTGATGGTGTATTTCGGCTCAAGTATTCCTATGTACGTATAGACGGAGCCTAAAAAGGGCACAATAAGTTATTTGATACAGTGCTATACATTCGTTTCCTCTGAAGTTTATCTTATCAGAAAACACCTGGAAACATTGGGGCGCCCAGTAGCGAGCCGAATACTTCGAACGAACTGAATATCGCTATAACAA